AAAAAAAAAAACTCCCCACTATTATGTTAGAAAAGTTTATTACTTTGCTTGTTTCAAAAGTTTGCTTTTCTTTGTTAGAGGTACTTGTATTGTATCTAAAGGATAAAAAATAAAAAGTTACAATCTTAAAGTTGATATAGCCCCCACCCCACTGTGGAAGGTGATTGGCATGCCTGTTCAGACATTTTGTTCTTTTGAACGAAACTTTACAATAAAATATTTGACATATGGACAAACTTTTAGGATAAATTCATTCTTTTGGCAAAACTAAGAAATTGGTGACAAAAAAGTATACAAGCAAGAAACGAACCAATGTAAGTGTATTATCATCTCATGTCAGGTTGAAATATTCTCCATTCTTTTTTCTTTTTGAGAATAAAGAAGAGTAATCAACCATGACACAGCCACAATGTAAAAGGAGGAGATATGTGACGTAAAAAATCCCTATTGTAACCTGAGATCAACTGTTATAAGTATATGAATGATACGTGTCAAAGCTCAACTTTTGTGCAGTATAAGTAGTTTCCTATAATTTACAGGGGATGGACAATGAAACTAAAGTAGAAACAGGGGGCATGAATTCGGGTTTGGCGTTACCAAGTGAAGCGGTTGTGCAAGCAGGCTCAAACACTCATATATCAAATCCTGGCATTGCAAACGAAGAAGCAAAGGCCTCGACCCGGTTGCGGAGCTCCACAATATCTTTGTTGTTTTGTAGATTGTTCATAATATCTTTATGCAGTCTTCCATGTTCTCTATGAATTACTATTTTTGTGATCTGAGCTGCTTTAAGAAGAATCTCAGCCATCGTCTCAAAATCAGCCTCTAAACAACCTCTGGTTGTCATTGCAGGAGTGCCTGAACAAGAAGAAAATAAGTTTTTATATGTGGCGAAAGTATAGATTTTCTCTCTGAGCCATCAGTTTATCAGAATCGTGGGACTAAAGGGGCTGGTGAGTACTAAACAAGACGAGTTCACACCTATTCTCACTCCTCCAGGAGAAATGGCTCCATTGTCGCCATAGATGGCACACTTGTTGACTGTAATATGACAGAGCTCACAGATCTTCTCATAATTCTTGGCTGTAACAAAGATTAAACACCAAAAGTATCAGAAATTAGTGGCCAATACAACTTTAGAAGCTGTTTTCCCAACCCTAACAACCCACGAGGGACAACTTTAACCAATAAAAAATCCACTAGAGTTTGTGTGGTCTTGACTCTAAAATCATTTTCCTATGTAATATAATGTCTGTATCGTACAAACTGAAATATAATTTGCGCATATGAACAATAATGTCAAAGCCATGAGGAAGGTGCAAGGTGTGTGAAAAAGCGAGCTTGGTACCAGAACCAAGTCATTGAACAAGCCCCCAGTAGTTACGGGCGTTCTAGAAATTGCTTTCTGAATGATTAACTCATAGAAATATAAGAACCACATTATCGTAATTCTATAAACTGGACATCCCCAATAATTGAGAAGCAATCAACCAACCACTTTAGCATGGCGTGAAAAGCCAGGTTAGATAACGGGGGGACAGCTATGCTTGAATTATTTCACTCTTGTTTGACCAAGACAGGGCAATCGAAACAATGGATTTAGAAGCTAACTTCATAGTCCAGCATAAACGATTAATGATAACCCAAAAAGCACAAAACTAATCACCAAAAGTTAGTATCTAAAGGGTCTCATCATACAAGAAAACTATAAAAGAAACTAAACTTACAAAATGAAAACACAATAGTAAAAGAAGAGAGCTAACAACAGCATTTGAAATATTGAAAACTACAGTGCAATTAAACAATTCATCTCCAGAAGGAAGCAAATATCTGAGTACAGTACCTGTTAGTCCCAAAGGAGTAAGATCCCACAGAACCAAATGATTGTCGGTACCATCAGTTACCAATCTGCATTTTCTTCTCAATAAAGCTGATGCTAAAGCCTGTGCATTTTTCTTCACCTGTCGAATATATACTCCGTACTCGGAAGAAGCCACTTGCTTTAACGCTATGGCCAGTGCGGCAATATGATTATTATGGGGACCCCCTTGTAACGACGGGAAAACGGAAAAGTTTATCCTCTCCTCAAAGTCATAAGTATCAGTGTCATCTCCATGAGTTAGAAGCACGCCTTGCTTCCTCGATTTTAAACCCCTCCTGAAAAATATAATACCTCCTCTGGGCCCTCGGAGACTTTTGTGTGTAGTTGAAGTAACTATATCACAATATTCAAACGGACTAGCGCATTCCTGCAGTAGGGACAGAGTAATAAAGGCATAAATGAGCGGTAAACTCAGTGGCATACTTGGCTTATCGCAACATGAATGTGCTATGTCAATAACTTTAAGATCGATAATATGATTGGAACTAGCAAAAATGGGGGGGAAATTCAAATTACTATCTTGAGGGATAAAATTATCCCACCCCACGACAGATTACTTTAATCGAACTTTATCATAATGATGAAAAATGTTGCTGGTGTAAAGAAAAAAGCATGGTCTTACAGAAATCTTAAAATTTGACATGACGAATTCAATTATAAATCTCCAAAATGAACCATAATGTTATCAGAAAAATCCACACCTTGGCCGCCACAAGACCACTTATATGGGCCATATCACACATCAAAACTGCTCCACATTTGTCTGCGATCTGCCTAAGCCTAGCATAGTCCCACTCGCGCGGATATGAGCTTCCTCCACATATGAGTATTTTCGGACGATAATCGAGTGCCTTCTCCTCAAGCTTATCATAGTCGACATACCCAGTTTGGGGGTTCACTTTATAAGGTAGACTCTCAAAGAATATAGAAGAAGCTGAAATCTTCTTCCCACCCGGAGTATAATACCCATGACTCAGATGTCCTCCAGACGCTGAATCCAAACCCATAACCCGATCCTTTGGTAGCAAAAGCCCTGTGTACACGGCAAAGTTTGCAGATGTACAAGAGTAGGGTTGCACATTCACTCCCCACTTTTCAGAATCAAGATCAAAAGCGGCCAGCGCTCTCTCACAACAAAGTAATTCAATCTCATCTATGTTCTGATTACCCGTATAGTATCTAGCGCCAGGCATTCCCTCGGAGTACTTATTCGTCAAATGGCTACCTAGGGCTTCCATCACTGCCCTGCACACAAAATTTTCCGAAGCAATTAATTCAATCCCCTTGTATTGTCTCTGCCTCTCCTTGGCCATGATTTCATGAATTTCCGGGTCAGCGACCCGAAGCGACTGATTCCCCCATGCCCTAACAGACGCTCGCCTCGCCTCAAGGCTCGATTCATCCGAAACCGCAACCCGTTTCGCAGATGCCTGGTTGAGAAATGATTTACCGTCTCTCTGCCTCTTCACACGCAAGGGCTGCCCCAGAAGACTGAACTTCTCATCCTCGCTATGACCATCAGCATCCCCGTTTACAAAACAGAATTTCTCATCCTTTTGCTCATGGAATTGCAGCGGATACGAGGAGTTCGAAGCCGTCGAACACAAATAGCTGGAATTGTCGCCAATCGAACTTCTAGATACCGAAGACGTGGCGTGAGAACTAAACCGTAAAGAAAGATCCATATTCCCAAAATTAGCAGAAGAGGAATTGAGGGGGCGCCTAGGGATAGGAGTAGAAGCAGCAGAAACAGCGACAACAACGCCTGAAGAAATTACAGTGGCAGTATCGCAGGGAGGAGCGGCGAGGGGTTGTAGAAGAAGAAGAAACTTCCATGGAAGGTACGGAAAGAAGGGTGTGGAAGAAAAGGAGAAGGAATTATATTTATTTTATAGAAAAATAAGGAAATGCAGTTTAATCGGAGAGTGTAGAACAGCAGTTAAGGAGGCGATGAATCTGGAAGCAAAGATGGGAGGGAAGGGGAGATGACCGGAATAGCCGGTAGCGTGAAGAATCCTAGTGGGTAAAGGTATAGGTGGGCGAATGGCACGTGGCGTGTCGCTTCCAAAGCTTACGTCAAAGGTTCTCACGGAGATGGAATGACGTCTAGGTTCATAAATGTGCAAATAGTCGTGAGAGAGTGGGGCCCACTGCCAGCGTGTCGTTTTCTTGACCCACTGGCTGTGCCTGTGGCTAGGCTAGGCCCTGGGTTGTTGTTCTTGCTACGAATTTTTTCTGGAAATCCTTCTCTTTCGTTTCTTTGGTTTTTGGTTTATTGCCATTATTTTAAAGATATTCGGGTCGAAAATATAATTTTTCATAAGGTAAACATCTCAAAATTAATAAATAATGAAAATAATAGCTCATATCTTTAAAATTCATGGATCTTAATCAGATTAATATTGTTATTTTAATTGATTATATTTAATCCCAAAATCAGTTGACAATAAAATAGTAGTGTATATATATTATAAATTTTTATTAATTCTTCACATCTAAGATATGTTTATTTGATTGCATTTCAAAACTTTTAATATATAATCTAATTTATTATTTATTTTGTCACCAATTCTTTCTCTATGGCTAATCATCGCCAAACCTTGTAATTTAAATGGCATTTTTTGTTTTAACCTTTTATGAAAATAAATTGACAAAACTAATGTTATAAACCCATGAAGTTTCTCTTTCCGCCCCAACGAAATATAATATATATTTTATTCATTGTATGATAATTATTAAAATATGGTTGGTAATTTGGTTGTCAATTTAAACATAACTTGGTGAAATATTTATATTTGATCAGAATATCATAAATTTGAATTCTCCATCTATCCCATGTTAGTTAAATATTCTTTATTTTAAAATCTTTTTGGTACACTTTTCATCATTCATCATTATTGTCAATACATTTGAATTATCACCCAAAAATCAATTTTTTAGTTTTTAAAATTTGACCTAAATTTTAAAACTATTTTTTGAAAATTATATATCAAAACAAATATACACATAGGTAAAAGTAATGTCTATTAGTTAAAATTTTAAAAACATAAAACCAAAAACAAAATAATGATTAAATGGAGCCTAAGTTAAAGTTTTATTTTTCAAGTATGAAAATTAAACATAATTTTTTATTTTATAAGTAAAGTTTCAAACTTTATGGTTTCATAATTATTTACTAAATATTAGAGCCAAATATAAAAACTTTACACAGATATGAGTTGAGAGGGAAAATATGTTGGAAATTTAGATGGATGAAAATAAAAGTTAGATGAAATCAATGAAAAAAGTCCAAAAATTTTGAAAAAAAAAACATAAATATGTTTCTAACACTTCATCTCTTTTAAAAATTATTTAAATTAGAACAAAAAAAAAGGTCCATAACTTGAAAGCAAGATAGATTATCAAATAATCCTGTTTTTTAAAACAGAACTAAAAACTACAAAGTAAAATCATAAATTGAAATGGTGTATTTTTTAGCAATTGAAATGGTCTTCAAATGCTACCTAAAAGCTATATTACTATGCCTAGCTTTTCATTAAAGCTTATAATATGTCATTGGTATAACTTACAAGCAAAAAGTAGCAAATAATAATAATAAAAAAGAAATCTTATTCAAATTTGTAATTCTCAACTTATATAAATTGAGAATGTCGGACTCTGGGCGGATAGTCAGGTTTCACCGACGCTACGGTTTCACAAGATTGAACATTTTTTGTTCAACTGAAGTAAAGGAGTAGAATGGACGAATCAGACATCCAAAACCGTCATTATTAGAGTTACTATTTTCATAATTACTGATCATTAAATGTCAACGTCACCACTTATTTTATCCTATTCACAAGTAATTTTCTTTTACGAGATATCTACAAATAACTTGAAGTACTAAATTTATTTAGCTTTTCATAACAATAAGGCATGTATTAGGATGTATAATGAAAGAAAAACGGTATGATAATGGACAATTTTAAAAGAAAATGTTAGAGAAGGAGAAAAAATAAAGAAAATAACAAATATGATTTCATTTAATTGAATTGTATTCGGATACAAACTCCTATTTATATTAATATAATCTCAAATCTAATTCGAATAATATAATCTAAACTATATTTATAATTCAAACCATATAATATAATCAAACAACATAAGTTAATGATATAATCTAACACCACCTATATTATTAGAGTAGACAAATAAGAACTCATTTTATGTTTACTAGAGTTGATTAATGGAATTAACAAGTGTCATCTTGCCAAAAAAAAAACATAAATAATAATAATAATAATCAGTCCCACTTCAAAATTAACCACAAAAATGTTGGCACATCAAATTAACTCAACTAACAGCTTATTTATGGACATATGACGTGGACTTGTAATTAATGGCGTTGACAATAATTTATTTTTTTAGGATGGTAACTAAATGAAATATAATTATTTTTTAATTTTAAAAATTAAACGAAGGTATGCTCAAACTGAAAAAAGATAAATTTATAATTTAATAAAGATTAAAAATCAAGTAAAAAAAGCCCACCATACCTTATATAATCAGTATCTTCGACCATATAGGAAAAAAACAAAAGTTCTACACATTTTTCTTTTTATCTATTTTCCACAAACACCAAAATTATATTCAAGCCTCCATTGAAAAATGTGACAAACAGAAACATGGAAACAAGTATTGTTTTATATTAATGAAAAACGAGGAAAATTCAAGAGAAATGAAATGTTTTAACTTTTAGGTGGGGAAGGAAGGACTTTACTATTTCAACAACTTTATAACTTTTTTTTTTTTTTTTGTTATTTCAATTTGCAAGTAGTCGTTTGGTCAATGGTCTTCATCTATAACAAATATCCTCACGCTTTCATCCTCCAATACTCAAAATTATTTATATTCCGACTTGTAATATATAAACTAAATACCATTTCTACTATTTTTTAAATCAATCAGTTGAAATAAATTATTTGCCAAAGTGGTATATTAATTCTGAGATTCACACCTTTCCATGAAAGACTAATTCGTTGCACATTTAAGTTTTTTTGTTTATATAGTCTGAGGAGTGAAGGTTAGATATCCCTAAATTAATTAAATTTATTCAATCCATCAACTTTGAAAGATGGTTTATTTATGTTTAAGAGTAAAAAATATCAAAATAAAAATATGACATTTTATTGTATTTTTTAATAATTTTTTAATATAACCACATATAGAGGTGAGAATTTGATTAGAGCATCTTTTCGTCGACCAATTAAGACTCAAGACGATGATATCTATAGTTGAAAAGTAATTATATTAACTAATGGTCGGGTTGTTATTTTTCTTTTTTTTTATTATCTTCTATTTTCAATTCCAACCATTTATATATACACTTTAGATTAAAAAAATTTAGAGTAACAAATAAAAATAAAAATTTTATAGTCTACCTTCATTCGCGATCTCAATGAACTTCTGGTTTGGCATTCAGGGAGTATTATTAATTTTTTTCCTCATTATTAATTTTTTTTAATACAATAATATTACGTGAGACGTTCTTTTAATCAAAGATAAATGTCTTAATTATTAATCTTATGTCGGTATAATTTTTTTTTCTTCAAAATTTTGCTAAATACTATATTTTAATCGACATCCATTTATGATAGACTTATTTTTAACTTCCATTAACGTGTTCAGTACTTTTAATATTTTTTCCTATATCGTATGTATTAATGTATGGAAATGAGTTATTAAATGACGAAGGTGTTGATGGCATGACAGTTTTTAATTGGAAAAATTCGGTGGATGTCGCCAATAATTTAAGGGGAAAAAATTATTATAAAATTCTCTTTCAAATTTACTGTTATTTTCTTAGGTCAAAGGATGATTCAAATTATCGGTAACAAAGTTTGAACAAAATACTTGGATGAAAAGTGGATGTTTTTTCTCTCTCTTTATTTTACTTCGTTTAAACTATAACAACCACTTTATGGAAAATGTAATAGGTCAACAAATAACATGTGTACATTTTTAACCTGAAAATATATCAAACTCTCTTTATCAATCAACATATATTTGTCAAATTTTCAATCTTTCATCTAATTTTATAGCAATTTAAAAACGATAGCCAAATTAAGTCGTAAAATTTTCAATATTCCAACTATGTTTGATAGCAATTTAAAAATGATAGCTAGCCGAATTAAGTTGTATAGTCTCGGGTCCCATAGTAAAAAAAAAAAAAACATAACTGTTAATTTAAACATGTAATATAAGAATGGAAATATTCAAATAATAATTCTAAATAAATCAATCAATCAAATTTCTAAAAAGTAAATAGGTGTATATGTAAAAATGACCGACATGATGATAGTTTAATAGTTAAAATGTTTCATCATTTAAAAAATAAAGGTATTTGTACTTAAAAATTACTAATATCGTAACATTAATAAAATTACTAACGTCACAATATTAGTAATTTATAAGTTCGTCACTGCTATATTAAAATAAATTAATATAAATTAATGATTAAATTTATTAAGCTTCATGATAATGTAGAAATTTTCTGCCCAAATGGAATAAAATTGTTTGATATCATTTAACTGAATAAGGAAATAAAATCCCTAAAAAAAAGAAGACGACAGAAAGGTTTAAACAAAATGTTGGTCATTGAATTTTTGAAATTAAAAAGTAATTTTGGATCCTAAATTTTCATATTTATTTTATTTTTGGTTACTAAAATTTTAAAATATCCATTCTAATTTTTGACTAAAATAGACAAATATTTCAGTTTATTTTTCTTTCAACAAACGAATAACTTGACTTAAAATATGTGTATCAATACATATGGAAGCCGGTATTAAGAAAGAAAATGTTAAGAGATAAAATCATTAAGAGATAAAATCATAACAAATATCATATATTAAAATAGATATGACAGTAAACAATAAAATGATTATTTATTTTTAAATTAATGAACAAAAGTAATAATATTAAAAGTGAAGGAATAAAATAAAACAAATTTGAAAGATTGAAAAACAAAACAGGATTGTTTGTAACCAAAACGAATTGACTTAAAGAATTAATCATATTTTACGTTGTGTTCAAAAACTCAGATCCATGTTATCGCAACGCAACTCATCTTGTCCGAAAACGGAAGCACGTTTCTGTAACGACACATTTTATTTTATAATTAAGATAAGTAAAGAGATTAAATTCCGAAATCCGAATTAATTATTAGGACTTGTAAACTATAAAGCAAGGATTCGGACTCGGAACAGAAACCGGAAGGTTTAATTAAATGCGAGTGATGGCGCGATTGGCGGTGGAGGGAGCCGGCCATGGCAAATCAAATCAAATGCGATTCTTCTTTGTTTCGCAGCCTAACCCTCTGACACTCTGACCTCGAAAACGCGCCTACAAAGCCCCCCATTTGATTCCGCTTTCTTCATTCCTGTTACTCGTCCTCAATCTGTCGACTTCTCAGAGAAAATAGCAGACAGGAAATGAAGAGCCGCAGCTCTAGAAAGATTTCTGTTACATGGGTTCCTTTCTTTTGTCTCTCCTTCTTCTTTTTCGGCATGCTCGTCACCAACAGGTTTCTATCTTATCTGTCCCCTTTTGATTTGATTTTAATATGATTCTTCTCTGTTTGGGATTTTGAATTTTGGGGTTGTGTAACAGGATATGGTTGGCTCCTGAATCCAATGGTCAGGTCATCTCCCGGCGGCGACATGAACAGGAACTTCAAATCGTCTCCGAAGATAGCCCTGTTAAGATGGTGAGCTTAGGCGTCTGATTGCCAGACTTATACGACTGATTCTGTTGCTTATTGGGTCTGATTTCGTTTTTCTTTTGTTCTTGAAAAATTTTAAGCCAGGGGAAAAAAGGGATGTGATGACCGAAGTCTATAGAACTCACGAAGCAATCCAGTTAGTTCAACTTGTCTTTATTTCATTTTTCGCCTCATCGTTTTTCCAATTTGGGTTAACGGTTAACCAAATTGTTCCCAACAGATCTTTGGACAAGAAAATTACAATGCTCAACATGGATTTGGTGGAGGCCAGGGGTTCTCGGGAGACCCACTTCTCCGACCGCTCTACCCCGTCTCTTGGATCCTCTGGTAAAGGTGACCTGCCGAAGAAGAAAATGTTAATGGTAATTGGGATAAACACCGCTTTTAGTAGCAGAAGGCGTCGAGATTCTGTCAGAGAGACATGGATGCCTCGAGGTATCTGTGTCCCAACAATTGCTTTTATGTCTCGTTTTGATCAGTTGATGTTGTTTTTCGGCTAAAACATGCTCTGATGTTTGGTCAGGCGAAAAGCTGTTCCAGTTGGAGCGAGAGAAAGGGATTGTCGTCCGGTTTATGATTGGTCACAGGTAGAATTGCGTTTTTTGTCGAGTATTTGGCTCTAGCTAGCAACTTGTTTGACATTAGGTGCAGGTGAAAAGAGGCAAAGTCACTTGTTTTCAAAATGGTTCATTTTCTTTTTCAACCCAACGGCCATAATCAATGAAATGGGCAATTAAATGAATAGGGTGTTAGAGTTTTCGTTGGTCTAATTTCTCTCTGTGAGGGATTCTTGACAATAAGAGTGTCAATAAGAATGGGTTTGTGACGACTTTAGAAATGAAACATTTTTTTTCCATAAATTGTGAGGGAAGCAGTAATTCTAATTAAGTGTTTTTAAAGCCATTTTAAAGTGCTTTTAAGCGTTTTAAGAGTTTTCAAACTCACTTCTTGACTATGGAACCAAAGCACATGGAAAGTTTGAAAAATGTTTTAAAATTCTTCTTTTGAGAAAAGATACAGAGGAAGGCAGTAAAAACGTAATACTCATGCTGGTATCCACATCATACGAGATGGGAGAGTAAACTTATACGTCAGAAGATACCTTTATTCTTTTTCTTGTTCACGCAAAGGAGTGGAAGCTAAAAAGTGATGCATGGCCTATCTACATAATAATATGATCCAACATAGGACATAAGTAACAAAACTGCAAGATATGCCATGTTATTTAATTCCATGACAGTAAGTCTTTAAGGTTCTCTGTTTTACAATCATAATCACACGGAGATTTTTGGGATTGCTTCCAGTCTCTGAAACTGGACTGTTCTGGTAGATAGGGTGAACAAGTTCGCCGTTGGTGGCTCCGTTTTACAAAAGCAGCAACAACTGTTAATCTGCCTGATTTTTCTCTACTTTCCTTTTTTGAGTACTTTAGTAATTAAGTTATGATATCACTATGTCATGTGTGGATTTCAACCCTGTATAGATAGGGCGGACAAATTCACCATTAGGTTGACCTTTCTGATTGTGACTAATATACTGTTTATTTTCTTCCTGTTCAGAAAATAGTCTTGTCATGCGGAAGCCATTCTTGCATTTTCTCTCTTCAACTGCATAATCCCACCTTATCCTTCCATAATCCTTTTATATTTTTATAGTTTAATCCCAGTGCATTATTTAACTGGTATGATACGCTTACTTGTTGTAAATGGAACTAACCTCATTGATTTTTGCATGATTAGTGCAACTTCCAACAGCATTTTAGATCGTGCTATCGATTCAGAAGATGCTCTGCACAAAGATTTCCTTAGGCTGGTAAGAGAACTTACATGAAGTAATTAGAGTATAAAAGGATGATGGACATTCCAGTTTGTAAATTGGATCAACGTTGTATTGATGTGTAGGAGCATATTGAAGGGTACCACGAATTGTCTGCAAAAACAAAATCCTTCTTTTCCACTGCTGTTGCGAAATGGGATGCTGATTTCTATGTTAAGATAGATGATGATGTCCATGTCAATTTAGGTATGTTTCATGTAGTTAAGTTGTTATTCTTTCCATTTATGTGACAAATTCAAATACATTTATATCGAGATCGAGTTTCTTATACTTATTTCTCTTAATAGGTATGCTGGCTACCACTCTTGCTTACCACCGGTCAAAGCCAAGAGTTTATATTGGATGCATGAAGTCTGGACCTGTTCTTTCTTCAAAGTAATTATCTTGTACTATCGATCATATTCATTGAGAGAGAAGAAGATAAATTCTCTGTTATTTCTTCCCTTTTGTCACAATTATATCATTCCTGTTATTCTCGATAAGGTTTTGTTAATATCTTTCTGCGTTTTTTTATCAATATCAAAGGACTGTCAAATACCATGAACCTGAATACTGGAAATTTGGAGAGGAGGGCAATAAGTACTTCCGACATGCAACTGGGCAAATTTATGCAATCTCAAAGGATTTGGCCTCCTATGTTGCAGCCAATGGGTAAGGACTTAGCTTTTCTGTCTACATCTAGCAGTGCTTTTCTACTGCATGGCTTAATATAGAGCTATCCATCGTATTGGATTATTATACTACCTAAAAACAAAATTAGGAAAACAACTTTTCAGTGCAATCATTACTTTTTCATTCAATGGACCCTTTGGCTCCTCCAACTTAAAACCATTATTTCCTCCATCTGAAACCAAATTACAGATTATGGATTGTAGATTTTTAATTGTTTGTTACTAATGGTAATCAAAAAAATTAAAAAAAATTGTTTGTTACTAATGGAAAAGTAAACGAGCTCGACCTTGGGTCAAAAGAGTGAAAGATACAACTTAGCAACCTTTCTCCTCCATAGGAAAAGAAAAATCTACGTCAAGCTGGTTAATATTTACTGTGAGATTTAAGAATTAACATTTGTAATGTGGTGACCTTCTTGGTCAATCCCAAAGCACTGAATTTGGGCAAATTATACCTTCTCTACCTCTCCGTTAGGGAGGTATCTGTTTGTGGACCAGTTATTACTGATTGGCGTTTGTACCTGATTCTTAATCATGCCGTTTAAGTTTAAAAAGTTGCAACTTGTGATGCAGACCAATTTTACACAAGTATGCCAATGAAGACGTGTCCCTCGGTGCTTGGTTAATAGGCCTTGAAGTCGAGCATATTGATGACCGCAATATGTGCTGCGGGACTCCACCTGGTAATGACAGTGATTGCACACATGAAGTAAATAGCAAATGTTTCCTTGTCTTGGATTTCCTAGATGGACCTGGTTATGTTTTTCCTGCCTCAGCTATCCAAAATCTTTACCCTTATTACAAAGCATCTTTAAGAAATGAGAAATATCTTTTTGACCCTGCTGCTAAATTTCATCTTTCCTTTTCTCCTAAACACGCTGGAAAATTGCAGATTGTGAGTGGAAAGCACAGGCAGGAAATGTATGTGTTGCATCATTCGACTGGAGTTGCAGCGGGATATGCAAATCGGTGCAGCGGATCAAGAATGTCCATGAAAAGTGTGGTGAAGGGAACGGGGCGGTCTGGAGTGCCTTAATATAGTTGAAAGCTTCCCTTGGTCTACTTGGGTTTTTCAATATTCAACTGTTACCAGACAAGCTGGAGACTGTTTGGGAGTTGAGACGGAGATGAAATATTATCGTAACACGACGAGAGCATTCACATATTCACAAAAAAGGAAAAAGAAAAAGTAGTTTCTGCCTCAAGCTCTTCCAATTTTGTTCGTGTGAGATAGATTCATATATACCTCTGTTTCTTTCTTAGTCTTCCCTTCCGATTATAGGATTTAAGTTATACGTTATACAGCCAGTGTATTGTGTACTTTAGGCTTCATTTGTATCACTTTACAAGATTGAGTTCCTACTCAACGAGTCTGATTCTGTTTATTGTGTCATTGCTTTGTATAGCGAAAGGAAAGAGAATAAAATTGTTTGTTTCTTGATTTGTATATTTATACAGAAATGAAACCTTGATTTCATATCAGAAGTAATCTTTCCTATAATCTGGAGCAGGTATCACTGCTGAGTGCTGAAAGATTTCTTGGAGATGAATTATGAGAATACAACAGAGATAAAAAAGGTAACTGCATTGTTATCATAATATTTCCTCTACGTGAAACACAGAGAACTAAGAACATGAAAGCTCCCATCATATTTTCAAAATTACCAATCTAGCTAAGAAAAACTTGAGAGATTACTTGAGAAAATTATAAGCTAGAAGGAGGCTGAACTGGTGCGCCGCAGTTGGTATTTAGGCGTTGGAATTGGATTTGACAAGAACATTCTTTCTACTTCCTGAAAAAGAATGGGAAACTACAGTTTATTAATCAAATAGATTCAGTAAGCAGTTTTATGATGACGAGTTTTCATATTAATTAGTATTGAACTATTAACTGATTGATGTACTTGCCTCTTGCTTTCTCAGCCAACTATTTGTTTTCCTCAAGCATAATACTTCATGCTCCAACTGATTCGTATAAGCCTAGAGTATTAAAACAAACATTTGGTGAATATAAATGAAAAAATGTTGTCACATTATGGTGTTTGATGGAAACTTCAAGAAAATATGAATGGTACCAAGAACAATGTTCATGAATTTACCTGCTTCCTGGCCCTGGACCTTGCAGCAGACTCACGGTTCTTGATCATCCTCCTCTGCCTTCTTTCAATGGTCTTCTCCTTCATATCGTCCAACTGTCTTCGTTTCCGTCCACTGTTACCTGCCTGGAAATCGGAGTTCGACGAGGCCGACGTCGGCGTCGGCATCGACATGGTCTGCAGGTTGTAAACACCAATATCCGGCACACTCCCATGATTGTAAACAGTTTGAGAAACTGGCAACTTGGAATCAATCAGTAGTGCCCGTTGGTAATGCACCCAATCCATCCCTTCTGCCGAGACCAAAACATCTGCCATTGGATCGGGTTGCGGTGGCTCGACATGGTTGTCCCCATTTCTTTTTCGGAGAAACAACGAAGCCGTGGCTGCTGCTGCTGCAGGAGACGAAGAGGAAGAGTCATGTGCCAGCTCTGCTTCTGCTTCTTCCACAGACATCACATTCCTCAGAACTAATTCATCTAAATTCATTTCCTATTCTAAACATCACACCCAGTTGTTGTTTTTGTTCCTCTGCTGCTACTTCAGAATCTGCAAACTAAGACAAAAATGATGAGGGAATGGAAGGGAAATGAAGCAAGCCAAATTGGTAGATGTTTTGAGGAGAGCCATAAATCAGATGGGAAAGGATCTGGCAGATGGTGATTTGTTGAAGGGGATCCTACATTTTAGAGAGAGAAAGAGAGTAGTTTCTCAGTCCAACAGCCAAACCTGATATTCTTGCTAATTTTGTGGGATCACAGAGATGGAAATTCAAAGCCTCTTAAACCTTCCAATATTACCCATCTGCCTCATTTCTTCTCTTCCATTAGAATGAAATCACATTTCTCTCATCAAACCCATTTCTTTATATCATATGAAACCATTGTAGTCTACATGTGCCATTATAAGCTTTAGATGGCCCAATTGATAAAGCACCAATCACCTTTTTTGTTGAGATTAAGAAGTTCGATCTTCCGCTGTTCTAATTAAATATCACATGTTTGTGCAATGTTAAAAAGTGCGTCTAAAATATTTTGATGTTAGTTATTCATTCTTATTTTGTAATATAACTATACAGGTTGGATAACTATTTTAATATAGATCTACTTACCTCAAAATGTTTAGAACAAGACAGAAATTTATAAGGTTTACAGGGAGGAATTAAAATTCAAACTGACTTGTATCTATTGAGTTAAAAAATACATAATTTGTTATTTGATAACCTTCTTCCTTTTTTAAGACATCAATTTTGTTGAAATAATTTAAAGCATAAACTAACCAAAGAAGTATTATTAATTATTAAAGGAGTTTTAGGCTTTTAGTTATTCAGGCAATATGGCATTAAAATATTAGAAATTGATCAATAACATAAACAAATGGTCATGGATTTATGATGTCAAGATTTTGTGATTTATATTCTAAAGGAAATTGTGATTTATTAATATTCTTCACTTCGAGTATATCACCACAATAATAATAATAATAATAAAAGTATACGCGCGAGTTGTCTTAATCACTTATAAGTTTTAAGGTGTGCGCGTGCCGCGCGTGTGGTATATTTCCCTTTCGTACCGACCGAGACAATTGCTTCTCTTACAATCGGACTCCGATCTCATCTGCCGATT